TTTTATATAACAATTTTTTGTGCAGCTTTTGAAGATACTTGTTTTTTTAACCTCTAGCTTGTAAAATGAACATTTATACACTAAGGGGTCTATTCACAAATCCGAAGGATCGGCCGAAGCTAGGGCCTGATCCTTCGGCAGCTTTGTGAATAGACCCCTAAGTGAGGTCCAATAAAGCAATTTCGGTCACAAGCTAAAGCAGTTTTGTCAATAGAACTTGATTTAAATCCAATATTTAAAGCAGACAGCCTCTCGTTGTTTAAAAAAAGTCTCTTTGGGTATTGCAGTGTTACACTGCTAGTTTGCTAACAATATGGTTACTTAGAACAAGTTAGAACTCTGCTACCTCCCTATTTTTCTATGCATGATCATGTAGCCAAAACACATTAAATGCCAGAAACCTTTATTGTGGTACAACTGATAACACTGCTAATCCTCATCATGGGGTAATATAAGAGATAAGTCCTCTAATAACATAATTTCAAATTTTTTGTGTTCCCCCATGGTTGTGTACGTTTCATTTGGGTACTCTAGTATGTAACTAAAACAAATCATACTTATTATAGGGGCATACACTGTAATCTCTTTCTGGGGCAGGGATTCGTGTGAATGAGTTCCTAAAGTCTGTGATATTCCTCTGTGTATTAAGCTAATTCCATATAGATACAAGAGATAAACAATATATTTAAGGCATATCCTGCAATGCCCTGCATTAAGGGTTTAATCATTGAGAAATATTACAAGAGATAGTTGCACATTTGAATGATGGCAATGGGAAACAATGTTTCTTTTTCATTACTGGGATTAATAATAACATATGTATAATAGGCAAATCCATTCACATAGAACTCAGTTTCTTTAAGAGAATTGGAAAGATAAATCTCAGAATCTACAGAACAGATGCAAGGATCTGTAATAAAGGTTGCTGAAATTTGCACAATGTATGTAGCTGAGACAGAGGGATATTTTTTTCCTTTACAACGTTGCAGATTTACTGTATTGTTAAAGAATAATGAAATATGTTGGCAGTATATAAATGAAATACAGTTGTAGAAATCTATAGTGCAAAAATAACAAGGCTGCAACTGTCGGTGACTTAACAGTCCAAACATAAGTTCGACCCCCACATAGTCAGCAGCTGTGTGCTCACATTACATTCTGTGAAGATTAAAGCATTCATTTCTGATGTATGTGCTGTTTGAGCCTCTAGTAAGCTTATCAGCATTACTGAAAAAGAAGAAACTATAGCCCATTTTATTAAAAATTCGCAGCGCAAGGACTCAATAGGTCCATTGAATTCTGCCTGAGATATAAGAGAGACCCTGTTCAGATTTTACAACATGGCCAATTGGCTTTTGTTTATGTCTCTGCCCCTAAACATGGCAATTCATTTCAGCACACTGGGGTTAAAATCTTGCTTTGCTGAATTATACTTTCTATGCAGTAGCAGATCTCTCACAGGAATAGCGACTCATTTTATACCTTTAAACAGCATGGTTCAGTTACAGCATGACATATGATTTACAGAATATGAAATGGAAGCTATATCACACCTCCTAGAACAAGTGTTTGATACAAAATATATAAATAGATTAAAAGGTCTCAAAAGCCCAAGAGCATTTATACACATGTGCAATCAAGGTATTCAGCAGTTACAGGCAATTAGTCCTTTAGAGAACTACTCCGGGCAAAACTTTTCTTAACCCTTGCAGTGTGGCTAACCCCGCACTGTAAGGATTAAGTACTCGTTTTGGCCTAGGTGCAAAAATAAAAACGTTATACTCACTCGAACCTCTGAGATGGCTGGCTGTTAGATCAGTCCTTCCAGCCTCTCTCTCCTCTGCTCCAGTGGTCTAAAGATCCTTGGGTCAGCACATCAGATACACTGTTTACAGGATGTACGGATGCTGAGGAACATATCATCGCTGTAGCAGAGGAGGAGACAGGCTGGAGGGAGCTCTGTAACAGTTAGCTGGCTGTGAAATTAAGGTGAGTATTACTTTGTTATTTTTGCACCTACACTAAAACAAGCACTTAACCCTGGCAGTGCGGAGTTTCTTGGGTAGTTTTGCCCAATGCTTGGCCAGCTGATTTGAAAAATGTTGCGGAGGGCTTGGCAGCGAAAGGGTTAAATGAAACCTGTCATAACAGCAACATGACATCTTCAACGGCTAATTTCTTCTTCTGAATACTTTAGTTAATTACCCGTCAGACTGACTTATATAATTAGTCCCCAACCTGGAACAAGCATGCAGAAAAGGACTCTTGACATTTCACACTTTCCTGATCTGGTATTAAAGCCAGCGGGTCAACAGAACAGCCAGACAACCAATATTGCCAGATAGTCAGACATGGTATGGTCTTTAGTTTTAGAAGACTGCTCTCTATTGTCCTTTTTTCTGAAATATTTCGGGGACCCAGTGGATACCACTGGGTCCCCGAAATATTCCAGAACAAAGGAAGAAAAATGAGAGGGTCACAATCCAGAATAATATTCCAGAACAAAGGAAGAAAAATGAGAGGGTCACAATCTTATCCAAAACATCACTGCTCTAGAGGAGATCTGCATGGAGGAATGGGCCAACATACCAGCAACAGTTTGTGCCAACCTTGTGAAGACGTACAGGACACGTTTGACCTCTGTCATTGCCAACAAACAAAGTATTGAGATTACCTTTTGATATTGACCAAATACTTATGTTCACCATAATTTGCAAATAAATTAGTTCCAAATCAGCCAATGTGATTTGCCTGGATTTGTTTTCTCAAATTGTCTCTCATAGTTGAGGTCTACCTATGATGCCAATTACAGGGCTCTCTCATCTTTTTAAGTGGGAGAACTTGCACAATTGGTGGCTGACTAAATACTTTTTTGCCACACTGTATTTTCTATGGATTCTGCATAAAGATCATTAACGCTATATTGCATTAATCATATGGTTGTGGCCCTCTATTTTTTCTTGCTTTTCCTCTGGGGTTGGCATCTTTGATGGCTGGCATAGGATGATGAAAATTCCACACATACCGCTATGCCATGGATATACACTGAACTGGGCATGTGTAGCTTAGTGTTTATTCTAAAAAATATTGTGAGCAGGCACATAAGAAGGTTTTTCCTAAAGAAAAAACAACTAGTACTTCTCTTCTGCAATTAAAAGCCTACCTGCTCACAACTATTTTAAGGCCACTTTAACATTCTGGTTTATGAATAAAGCTAGGGGAAGTTGAATTGTCCACAAACCTCTTTTGTTGTTGACTACAAGGGTGAGTTCTTGCCATGATAATTTCTATTCTGCTACCATTCCAAAAAGCTCCACTGTGGTAATATTTTGAATACAGTAAGTGACAACTCTAAAGAGAAGCAACAAACCCCTGGTTACTATGGGGTCTATTCACTAAGCTGCCTAGCATTGCTAGATTTCTATTGGCTATTTCAATTTGCAATAGCCAATAGTAAACTGGCATTGGTCTGTCCCTCTGCTGATGGACCTGATGGAGAACTGCAGCAGAGGGCGGGTGCAATGCTAGTTTTCTATTGGCTATTGCAAATTGAAATAGTCAATAGGAATCTAGCAATGCATTGCTATGGGCAAACATTTTTTTAAATTTTTTTCTATTCTGACACGGCTCCGTGTCAGAATAAAGAAAAAAAAAGAAAAAGCAGTGTTTCTCTCCTGGGCAGCCGGGAGCAGGAGACTCCCGGAGCGCCCAGGAGAGTAAGGCTGTTTGGAGATCAGTGTCCCTGGTTAGCAGGTAACCAGGGACGCTGATCTCTCTGCAAGTGGTTCTGCCCAGCTGTCAGAAGCAGGCTGTCGGCCGGCCAATGGCCAGCCGCTCGTACAGCTTCGGCTTTCAGCGTGGCAAAGCCGAGCCGAGGCAAATGCGTTCGGCTCGACCGAGCCGCTCGGCCACGTTCGGGAGCTGTACGGGCTATAGTGAATAGCCCGTACAGCAGCCCTTCGGTTCTACTGAACCAAAGGGGTCCTGGGGCCGAAGCTAGCCGAAATATCGGCTGAAGCTACGGCTAGATCCTTTGGCTGCTTCGTGAATAGACCCCTATGTTTCGAGGTAGGCAGAACTGGGCAATAACAGCATTATCTGTGAGCTGCTTAGTTGTACATTGCAAACTATTATTAAACGTGTTACTGCAACTACGCTGAGCCTACTATGATGTGCTAGATTGCTCCTTATAGAACTGCACCTATGTCTCAATGCTAACTGGTGATACTGTAACTACCCATTGGTTCAGAAGTCAACTACCTAAACTGGGATCTGTTTGTAACCACTTTAGCAAGGTAAGCCTTTGCGGCATATTATGGTTATTGAAATCTTGTATTTATGTGACACTGCAAAAGAGTATATTAATTTGTATTAGCATGTGTATATGTATAAAAGAGTAGGATCCTCCAAGTCATGGTCACTCCCCATTTAATAAGCAAAGTAAGATGTATACATGGCCACATGAGATTTTAACATTGCTCTGTTTAATTTAGAAAATAATGTGTGTATATTAAATATATTAGTTTATCTGTATATCAGCAAATGTAAAGGCTATATTTTTTTTTTTAGTCTGGTCGCAGTTATGCAACGGGACATATACAGCACAGCTGTGAAGGAGTCACAACTGAACTGCTATTTCTTTTCCATGACAAATACCTATTAAGTAGTCAGAGCAAACCCTCATTAAAATCTCTGACATCACCCTTAGGGCAAGAGAACACAGAGCAGCAATTGCTAAATTGCATATGAAAATTATAGTTTTATTGTCCGTACAACTAAAGACTTGACTCCAGCTCCCATTTCAGTCAGCTTAGCCATAAAGAGGTTATTCTTTCACAGTACAAAAAAGCACAGTACACCATTGTAATGTAACGAACAGTCACTGTTTATGTATTCGATAGCCTTGTTCACAATAGTACTAGCAGTGAAATGGCCCTGAAGATCTCATTTTAGCAGCTGTAAAGAAAGATAGTCATAAACAAGAGTAGAAAATGCTTCAGATGGATATACAATTTTTGAAGCACACAGCCTTTATTATCAATCAATAATCCTATTTTGTTTAGTTCAGCAGACAGGATTCATAGGTAGGGACCATATATTTTATATTAATAAAAGCATCTTCTCCTCCATAGCGCTCAAAATCTTCCAGTGTTTCTTGAATCAGGTCGCCGATGTTTTCACGTTTTTGCTGGCTGTAGTCAATTCCATCTCCGGAATTTACTGTAAATAAAGAGGGGAATCTGTTAGATTTTGACATTCGTGTTTTGTGATTTGTTTTGTTGACTTCGTAATGTGCTACACAAAAGGGGGGCATTCAATCCAATAAACATACATTAACTGGCTCCTGATTTGGTGGAAAATATTCTTACATAGAAAAAAAAATAGTATGTACTAATAATTTGTAAAATGGTTTACAAAAGTATTACACAAAAACAAATCTATAAAAACTGAAAGGAAAGTGGAAACATTGCACAAAGCTATCATATTTGATCTCAGTTGTCATTTTGTATGTAGAATAAAAGAAAAAGCTCTTTTTGGTTGCTCTAGGTACTGTACATTTTTTTCTACTTTCCTTACATAGTTACAAATCAGCGCCAAAATCTCAATTTCACAGAAGGGAAAATTCTTAGTTAAACTGCATATTTAACTGGCTGCTAAATGAATAGGAAGTGCAGACTCAGCTTTCTCTTGAATCTGAATGTATCGGAATGCAGGCCAAACAGCACCTGGGTGAAGTAAAAGCATCTGCCTATATAAAGTGTAGGGCACAAGTCACATTTATATATTTTAACGTAGTGCACTTTAAACAATTCTTTCTGCTTTTGCCATGGAATGGTACTGCATGGGGCAGGACCAGGTTACATGAAAAAAACAAAGTTGCGAATAGGCCCTAAGGTCTTGTGCAAACAGGCATTAAAAGAAGGTGGTCCCAGTGTACAATTCTATCTCCTGCTCAGCAGTCTAATAGGGTTGAGCTCGATGTTCGAGCCGAACATGAGTTCGACTCGAACATCGGCACTCCGTGTGTTCAGCGAACACACAAACTGTCAGGGTGTTCGGCGGGCTGTTTGCCGCCGAGCACCCCGCACGAGGCACTGTGCCTTGTGAGCACTGATTAGCTAAAGCCTTGCACCTGACCACAGGACATGTGCAAGATTTTGCCCAATCAGGAGACAGAGAACAGTGAGAGCCATGAGTGGGCAAAGTCATGATGACTCTGCCCAATCATGGCTCACCCTGTTACATCTGTAAACAGCTGTCACTGCTTTATTAAAGGGTTACCCTGATGTGAATAAGCCCCCTGCCCGCACAACCAACGCCCTAGGGCTTGTGGGGAAGAGGCCATTGTCCCCATCGGTACGGGGACAAGGTGCTTTTCCAGGGGTGACCCTGGAAAAGCACCCTCCCAGTGCCGAGGGGATGTTGTCTGGTATGGGAGGGAGGCCTATGCTCGGATCAAGGGTCTGGTATGAAATTTTAGGGGGGACCCCTTGTTTCCCCACCCATTTCTGGGGGTTCCTCCTTAAAATTTTTACCAGACCTTAAAGGCCTGGTATGCCTTTAAGGGGTAACCCCCACACACTTTTCTTTTTTTTTTTACACGGGGTTCCTCCTAAATATTCCTACCAGACCATAAGGGTCTGGTATGACTTTTGGGGGAACCCCACGCTTTTTTTTAAAAATGTGGTCCCTCCTAATATTCCTATTAGACCTAAAGGGTCTGGTATTGTTTGGGAAGATGAACTGCACGCTTTAGGAATTACATTTTGTTTTTATTTTCTTTCGGTAGAAATGTCAGTTTTGCTGCAGCAGGTTTTATACATCATACAGATTTGCCACTTTACAGGCAGTTTAAGGGAACCCCCCAGGCACAATATTCAAAGTAATTTTTAATTTTTATTGTTACCCTTTAAGTGATGTTAAAACCACTGCTCCTTTAAAAATTTTATTTTTTTTAAAGTTTTTTTTCATTGATTCCTGTCCCCCAGGGCAGTACTCGAATCCCATACACCTTTTATGGCCAATAACTTGCATATAAGCCCTCTTAAAGGGGACACTTGTTTTTGAAAGTTCTAACCCCATTGACTTGCATTGCGTTCGAATTCAAACTTTTTGGATGTTCTAAAGTTCAAATTCGAATTGAACTCGGGCCTGTTCGGCCCATCACTACAGTCTAACAAATACCTGAGCTGTACAATGACACTGGGCCTCAAGACACACACAATTGCTACAAGTGCATTTTAATTTTTTCCTTGCCCTACATCAGTGGATCTCAACCTGTGGGTCGCAACCCACAGTTGAGGGGGTCGCCAGTGCCTTGTGCTGACATAGCTGCTCAGCCTCCTCCTAGCGCAGCAGTGTCAGTTCTCCAGCCGCAGCGCTAGATGGGGGCCAGGGAGGATCAAAGAAAGGGGAGTGGGTGGGAATGAGGGGAGGTGAGTGCCGGTGATCTATCAGTTGCCACATTGACCACTGCAAAGCCTGCACTGGCCGCCACAGAGCTCGCACTGGCAACCACAGAGCCCGCACTGACCACCAGAGAGCTGCACTGACCACCAGAAATCCGCACTGACAACCACAGAGCCCACACTGACCACCAGAGAGCAAACACTGACTACCACAGAGCCCACACTGACCAGCACAGAGCCCGCACTAAACACCACAGAGCCCCACTGACCACCACAAAGCCCACACTGACCACCACAAAGTCTACACTGACCACCACAGAGCCCGCACTGACCACAACAGAGCCCGCACTGACCACCACAGAGCCTGCACTGGCCACACTGACCACCAAAGAGCCTGCACTGGCCGCACTGACCACCAGAGAGCCCCACTGGCCACCTGAGAGAACACATAGATACTGGTAGGTGCATCCCTAAATTTTACCGTTGGGGGTTACCACAACTTGGCAATTGTTACCATGGGGTTCTGGCCCTAGAGAGGTTGAGAACCACTGCTCTACATGATCCCCTAAGGGTTCATCTAGAAAGGCAAATGCAGCCATTTCCATTAGAATGCAGTACTCAAATGCATGCTTCTGAATGCAAAGTGCAGCTATTGACCAGAAAAAATTGCATGAGACCTACATTGCCTGCAATTCAAATTCACATCAATTGAATGCAAAGCAGGTCAATTGCAGCCTATAAACTGTCATGTACACTACGCTATTAAAGTCAACAGGAATTTTCTGACCTGCATTTGACCTGCATTTTATTTGTGCAATAAAATTAGGAAAACAATGCCCCCCTACATGAGCCCATAACCTGGTCAAGTAATTTCTTGTCAATAGAGAAGGCTGGAAAAACATTTTTTAAAATGATGGTGTAGTATTAAATATTTTTTTTTTGCAACAGTTCACACTTTTTTCACCATAGTGTCAATTTTTTGCCACTTTGTTGACTACAACATTACAATTAGGGATGCACCGATACTGATACTAGTATCGGTATTGATACAAGTACTCACCCAAATGCTCCGATACTTACCTCTGATACCGGAACTTCTGGCAACTTCTGGCAGTGCCGAGATAGAATGGAGCTGGCTTGCTTTCCAATCAGGAAGCCGGGCAGTGGATTATGACCCGCCTCCCAGCTTCTTGATTGGCTAGAAAGCTGGCTTCAGTTGTTCCTAGGCAGCCTGGCTGCCTAACCATTCAGGAAAATGGGTGGCACATAATGACCCGCCTCCCAGCTTGATGATTGGTCATGAATCCAGGCTGCCTAGGAACAAGTGAAGCCGGCTTCCTAGCCAATCAGGAAGCTGGGAGGCGGGTCATGGCGTGCTGCCTGGGTTCCTGATTGGCTAGGAAGCTGGTTTCACTTGTTGGTAGGCAGCCTGGCTTCCTAACCAATCAAGAATCCAGGTGGCATGTAATGACTCACCTCCTGGCTTCTTATTTGGTCAGGAAGCCACGCTGCCTAATAACAAGTGAAGCCGGCTTCCTAGCTAATCAGGAAGCCGGAGGTGGGTAATGATTTGCCACCCGGCTTCCTGATTGGCTAGGAAGCTGGTTTCACTTGTTGGTAGGGAGCCTGGCTTCCTAACCAATCAGGAAACTGGACGGCATATCATGACTCACCGCCTGGCTTCCTGATTGGTCAGGAAGCCAGGCAGCCTCGGCAAGTGAAGTCAGTGTTCTTTCACTAGAGCACCAGTTTCACAGGCAATCATGAAGCTGGGTGACAAATCATGATCCGTCGCCCGACTTCCTGAAAATTGGGGCACAATGCACCGGTATTCGGTATTGGCGAAAGAAAATATCGATACTTGTACTCGATACTGAAAAAAACAGTTTTGATGCATCCCTAATTACAATGTTCCATATCTAGCTTTTATAAAAGAATACTGTCATGATCTTTGTAAATATCCCCCATAGACTTCCTATTACACTTCTTTCTGCTATATTTAATTTATTTCACATTGCTGAACTAAATTAGCATGGGGAATATGAAATAAACTGTTTTACTGTAAACTGTTGACTTACATTAAATGGTACCGGTTGACAGCTAAGTCTACCATATCTAAATCTGCATCATTTACAAGACATTTTCATTATTCAAAGTGCATTGGTAAAGTTTTTCAAAGTAACCCACAACTAACGAGGGCAAACAATGAATCAATACTAATCATATTGAGAAGGCACAACCATGAGACATATTTTCCTTTTAATTTGCATTTACTTTTCTTCTAAAAGGATCAAAACCTTTTACAAATTAAGCTGTAGACGAGATGGAATGTCAGTGCGCCATGATTAGAAATATATGAACATCCTTCTTTTGTATTTTCACTTATAGAAGTCAAAGTATGCCCCCATAAGTCTTCCTATTGATTTTACCTCTTTTTATGTCCGTGCATCTCATATCTATAATACATGCTTGTAATATTAAAATCCATTTCAAATGTTCTTATCTAGAACATGATGTACATAAAGATATTTTCATGTGTGTGAATCAAAGCTGTAAGGGAGCTTAGAGACATACTGTGTAAAAATGCTGATGGTCTCCTTGTGTCTTTGCATTACACTGCAATGGATCTTCATACAGACTATGGCATCTTTTAAAATTATTTAAGTGTTTTGAAATGAGAACAGAGGCATTATTAAATGAACTGATACTATGGGGTCTATTCACTAAGCTGCCGTAGGCAGCCGAGTGAATGACCGACCTGAAGCGAACGATGTTCGGCTATTCACTTCAGGCTGGTACGGCTGATTTCAG